CATCTGCGCAGGCTTGCGCTGCCAATTCATTCTTAATTGGCCCGTTCAATACTCTTTCAGACGAGTAGCTTCTGAACCGAACCTCCCAATGCGTGGATTTTACAAATCAAATCCACTTATAGTGCTTCCGTTCCCCTCCTCGGGGAACGAAGGGTTACTTTAGTAACCTCGAACGTTTTATGAATACCTCCTCATGTACAGTAGCGGTGAATGAGTTGGCAGAGACGCTGACTTAAACTTGTTCAGAGAAACACTGTTGTTAATCATTATTTACTTCACTTAATCAGTGTAATGATGACGGTATTGATCAAATATGCCCATTGTTAGGAGGATTGTGAAAAAAACTGTAATGCTCCCTTGTAAAAGTATTTTGTAGTATTTTCAAAATACAAAACACAGTGTTTTATTTTGATACATTTGTGGCTGCTGTATTTTGTAGTTTATTTTGATATACTTAAAATTGTGATGTTTTGTATTTTTTATTAAAACACATTTCAATGTATTTTTGCCCATCCCTGATTATAGCATAGTTTGTGCTGAATTAAAAAAAATAGATGTTGGCCAATACTACGTAATAAGTAGCTGAAGTAAGCACAAATGTCAGGGCATGTCAAAACATCGTAGGAGCCCCAAAACGACCTCAGACCTCAGAGGTTTAATGCAAATTAGCAACTTAATCAAAAAGTACAAATTGCTGTGAGATTACATTGTTTCATTCCACTGCCTCAGTGACTCTACTGATCTGGTGAATACAAGCATTTTTTTCTGCTTTTCACACAAGGCCATTGTACATCTTCAAAAGACTTGAAATACAATGCACAAATCATATGTGCCACTTTTATGATGCTTTTCCATCTTTTTCTCAAGCTTGAAAGCCTTTCATTGTAATTTCATAGAAAGTGCTGCAAGTGTTCAGAATTCCATCTTTTGTGCTCGATAGAATAAAAGAAAGTTCTACATGTCTGGAGCGACGTGAGGGCTAGCAAATGATGACAAAATTTTCATTTTGGGGTGAATTATGCCTTTAAGCTGGTGTGACCTGTTTCCTTCAACGGGGAGCGGCCGGGAAATGGGTCTGGCTGCTGCGATGCATGTGTCAGCGTGAGTATGTAGATTAGTGACTGACTGAGGGCAATTTTGGTCAGCAGATGATGAGCGGGGTGTTGAGACAGGAAGACAGGCCTCAAAACTGTCATCACGCACTGCCTCTCGTTAACCACACTACTGCTCACTCTCACTAATCTAAACTGACACTGCCACACATCCCTCTGCTGCTTATTATGCAGCGGACGCTTCAGAGGGCAGTGAGAAAAGCTGAAGAGTTCATTTACATCAGAGCGCTCCTGTGGCTGGCGAAACACAGGTTTGTGTGATGTCTGCTCAACTTTGTTTGCTTTTAAGATGGTAAAAGAGATCCATGTTTATAAGGATCTCAGACTATTTGCATCATTTAGGGACAGACAGTGATAACTATGCCATCCTGTGGCTTTCATATCGTTTTGTTAACTTAGCAGACCGTTTTTGCCAAAGCCACTTACAAATGAGGATAAAATAAACACTTTGAATCATCAGAGAGTAGCAGTATATGAATCATAAATATCTACAACACAGCTTATTGTGAAAACGTACCCCTGAATACATTTCTGGAGAGCGCGAATTATGTAGCTTCATACGGTTATATTTCATCTTTAAAATGAACGTTGTTTCTTTTCGCGTTACCAGTTTACTGCTTACCTCTATGTGGATGGATTTTCTACTGTTACCAGTTTGCCCAGTAGCTCACCACATATTTCGATGGACCTGAGATGCAGAGAGAAGTTGGCCATAATGATGGGGTTCAAGTCAAGCAAAGAATAGTTCATGAAAGCCTAGAAAAAACAAAAGGCAAAATGTAAACTAAACAAGTAAATAACAGGGTGAGAATATGCTAAGATCTAAATATGTGGTAATAATCAGATGAGAACTTTTATAAAAACACTGTCGGTTGGGTTTGGGGAAGGGGATGGTTGGTGGTATCAGTTGGTCGGTTGGTCATTTAGTCAGTCAACAGCACCCTCTGGTGGATTTAATCGAGAACAGCAGGCACTCGCAAGAGAAATTTGAGATCTAAAAAAAATGTACAAAGCAGCCTCTGGTGGATTCGCGATAACAAAAAAGTAGGTCCTGGGATATTTTTTATGATCTCCAGAAATGTTTATAGGAGTATGTATCAATAATGAGCCTAGGTTGAAAATCTAAGCTAGTTTCTTTATTTTTTTCCTTTTCTCCGAGCAAACAGAAAGGAGAGAGTGTGTCCTATGGTTGGTTTGTCAAGCCCTCTCACCTTTGTGGAGCACACACAGAATTTAACAAAGTTTTCCAAAAAGCAAAGAGTGTTTATAAGAACATGTCTGGTACATATGGAGTGAGAAAGAGTGAGTCACCTACGGCAGGATTGTCGAGCCCACTGACTTGAACTGCGCAATGTTTTCCATATACTGAACATGGAAACATATCATCTATTGCATTTATTTTTATCTATTTTTGTTTGTTTGTTTGTTTGTTTGTTTGTTTGTTTGTTTGTTTGTTTGTTTGTTTGTTTGTTTGCAAGTGGCCTTGTTGATGACTTAGTATGTGTGAAGCTGTTATAAAATAGATCTTTACTCAATAATAAAAATGTACTCACATTTACTCACCCTCAAGAGGTTTTAGCTTTTATGTGTTTCTTTTTTCAGTTGAGCCCAAAAGAAAGTATTTTGATTGCTGATAGACAATTGTAGAAAACAAACAACAAAACTGTTGTTTTTGACCAAATTAAATCAATGTTGCTGAATAAAGGAACTCACGCTCATTGAAAATATGTGTCTCAAGCCTGCATTTTTTTAAAAATGTAAAATGCGTTGCTCTGGCCACGTTTTGTTTCCTGTTACGGATGCTTGAGGGTGCTTTATACATGTTTGGGAGTCTGACATGTGTTACATAGAGTACATTTAGACCTAAACCCAGTGTCTAATTTGAGCTGGATCTTGCTGGATCCTGTTTCAGGAAATGTCATCTAATCTAATAAATAATATTTATTTTAGCTCATCCAGCATTAATTTTTTACCTGGTGAATACCTGCATGTATGTGTTTGAGAGAGAGATAAAATTTGATTGAGTACAAATGAAAAACAGCAAGCAAATCTCTGTGGATTGTGGAAAGGTAGTCACTTTTGGCCAATCAGCTTTCTTACGTTTACAATCACTCTCATTGGTTGGTGATTTTTTTTTTTTTATGCAATAAGTAGTGAAAAATAAATAATGGCATAGTGGCCTACCTAAATAATATTTTGTATTCTCAGCATGCCAGAGGCAGTCAAGCATATTTTATTATTTTTTTAAAACCACAAATAAATTTGATCTCGGGAAAATCCTTTGCCCCTGGATCAGGATAGCGGGAGACAGAAGCAAAGTGAGTCAGATCAGCCAGAAAACATGACAGAAGAGGTAACTGTGAGCTCTTCTTGAAGATTAGACAGAGTGAGTCATTTTCGCCTGGCACATAATAGTGAAATGAACTAAATGTCAGTGGTGTTAGTAAAATGGATAATGATATTTCATACAATTTATGTTCTAGCTAGATATTTTTATTTATTTATTTTTATTTTTTATTTTTTTTTTTATCCATGGTTGACCCATAACGTTATATTGTACATTACCTAAAGACAGAAAGTTCAGAAATTTGATGCTTTTTTCCACTATATCCGCTTACTAACTTCATGTTCTGGGAAAACTGAAATTGTGTGGTGAACATCGGTCATGGTAACTTTTATTTTCTGGTTGTGTTCTGGAAATTATTGATATACAAATTGATCACTGCTTAAACCCTTCCCTAACCCAACCAATAATGTTTTCAAAAGCAAATGTAACTGAAATCCATCACATCCACATAGATTTAACTTGAGTTTACATTGCTTTTATCAGTTTTGTGGAACTGTGCAGGACTGACCAAGCCCAAAAAAAGTTGCATGTAGAGATAGATAAGTGAGGCAAATTTATTTGATTGCAAATCATATACACTGTTGCACCTTTGTGGTAATAATTTGGTGTTGCGCAGATAACTGCACAAAATAGTCCATCATCATTTATGTCCATGTAAATATCATTAATGTGAAAAGGAACAAAAGCTGTTGGCATCATACTTCCACATAGTGTTAGTTTTACCTAGAAACTATAATTAAAGTATGCTTTTGCAGCTTTGCAAAAATGTAGGCTTAAGCACATATTTCCAATGAGCCTGTGCTGGAATAAAGGTATTTTTTCTCAAATCAATCTCACTGATCTCAAACTTTTTGAACGATAATCATCTTGGATTGATTTTATTTCCACTTATCTCATGCTGTTTTAGAAATAAGTCTACAAGAAGGTATCACAGAAAGTGGCGTAATTACATTCTGGAACAGTCTTTTATGTTGCTAGCATGCTTATCATGCTTCAAAATCCTGTCTACGTAGGCAGCTCACTTTGGCACAGAGCTTGTATGCATAATATCACCTACAGATATGCTAATGAACCACATCACAACTCGTATTCATTGAACACTGGCAACTTGTATAATGATACTGTAGTCAATAATTCATAAAAGCATCTTGCATAACAGTTTTTCTTATAGCATCCCTCAACAGTGTCCTATGTCCTATCTAGAGTGAGTAATGCGATCAAGACATGATGCAATCCTAATCCTAATATGCAGTGAAAATATGGTGCATGTGTATTTAATCTGATTGAAAATACCATTGAATATTTGTACTTCCAAATCCATGTTCTTTGTGATCAGGGAAAAGCAAAGCCACTCTGCACCCTTTCCTTCTATGAATCTTTAAAAAAATCTCTGCTTTGGATTTGTCCATGTGAGTCATGTCTTAAAAGTTTAATCCCCACTTCTTGCTATGACAAGATTTTATATTTAATCCTGCAACCTTGACTTTCTGATTATCGGGTTTGCAAATAACTGAAGCGTGTGATGTTTTTTTTTTTTTCAGAGTCCAGACGGCCGTGTAGAGGTGCGAGGACGTTATGGAGAATCTATGCTGACTATTGTTGTAGTCAAGCTATCAGACTGGGGGCGTTTTGACTGCGAGGCTCTCAGCAGAATCGGTGGCCATCAGAAGAGCATGTTTCTGGATATAGAGTGTGAGTGGTTGAATTGTTGCAAAGTTCTGAAGTTGAATTGAATTTGTCACAACTTCCAATGAACTAATTTACACTGAAAAAATTATTCATTGGATTAATGGTTGCAAACAGTTTACATGGGCTGAATTTAATCCTTGTTACTGTTGTTACCCCTGTACTGTTAGGGATGTTTTCATCCACTCTGGGGTGATTATGAGTCTTAATTTGGCCATAACTTTTTCTGTATTTCGGCATATGGAATGATTTTTGGTGACAAATCTTATTTTGTAGTAGTCCTGATCAAAACTACTAAATTACCTAGAAAATTTCAGGATTTAATTACAGAACTTGTTAATTGTCAAATTCATAAATGATCTGATTTGGTGAAAAAACACACACAAAATGACGTATTTTCAATATACAAAATGACTGTGGACTGGATTTTTTTTTTTACCAAAGTCTTGGACATGTGAAATGACATTGTATTTGATGCACTGTTTTTTATTAAGTTTATTTATTTTTTCCCCTACTTTACTTTTGGTGGCTGTTTTTTGCCCCATTGACTTCCATTATAACAACATAGCACCATATAATCATGCAGTTTTGATTGTTGGTGGTTTTCCCTTTTGGGAAGAGGAAAATGTGTCATTTTTACTGTCGATCATCAGTTGGCACCATTAACCCTTTGAATAAGGTTAGTTTGTGGATTTTATATGGAGTGTAACAGCAAAGTACAGTGTATATACTGTATGTGTGTCTGCGAGTGTGTGAGAGTAACAATTACACACCTTTAAATCAAAACAGACATCTCAACTCTCAGAATTACATGGAGTAAGTAAAAAGTACTGTAATAATAAGTAAGTAAAGTCTGTTAATTTATGCGCCATCAAATGTGGTTATAATGGAAGTCAATAGGGCAAAAACAGCATTAAATTAAGGAGAAAAAATGAAAATCTAAGAATGCATCAAAGCAATGTTGTTACTAATCCTTGACCTGTCCAAGACTGTGATAAAAGGTTTAAAAGAAATCCAGTACAGAATCACTTTTATGTCAAAAATAAATCATATCGATATCATTTTGTGTGTTTTTTCACCAAATCAGTGACATCATTATGAATTTGATAGTTTTTTGTCTAGTTTTTCCATGTTTTGATCCTTGCCTTGTTTTACCATTGATATTGAGTCTTTGCTGCCTGTACTGACCATTCGCCTATTTTTGACTATGCTCTTCAATTAGCTTAATGCTTCTGTTTGCCCCTATTTGCCCTAGCATGACTACTCCTAATAAACTGCACATGCATCCTTAACTCTGTTGTCCAGCATCCCCTTCCGCTACACCATTACACAGAAATTGGAGGGAGAAAATAGACAAAGGAGCTAATTATTACTGACTTCAACTGTAGGTTTAAACATTTTTATAAACTTAATAATAATTATAAATTATTAAATAACAATAATTCATTATAACTAGCTTGGATGAATTATTATTCATATGTCCCTATGAGCTACATTTTTGATTTTGCGACATTGGCATATTTTAAATGCTTTAAGATGTTATGATATCATAAAATGCAACAAATATTAATTTTGACATGATTAAAATAGGATTTGTTTTTTAGTTATTGTCTTTTATTATTATTTTTTAAATTCTGAAATTGGATGAATTCCATTAATGCATTTTTACTGTTGTGTGTACTTACTGCTGTTTTATTATTATTTCTCATTTTTATTGTTTAAAAATATTAAATTAATTGAAACGTCAAAGTACAGTTCTGTATCCTGCATGCTTCTGTATCGTCAGAAACAGCAGCAGCAGGGTAGATATATATCTCATTATGAGGTGCACTGGAATGGACCATCTAGCAGGGTTGCTAATATACCCATTCATTCAGTCTCAATCCGTCACCGATGTGACACTGTGGGCAGCATCAATCTCTTTAATGGAAAAAATGGGTGTGATTGTGTGTGTGCCGGGTCTCTGTGTCTCGGTATGTGTGTGCCTGTCGGTGTGTGTGGGTGCGAGACTGAGAAATCACATATAATGCAGCATTTCCCAATCCCACAATACTCTGTGCCTCACACACCCTCTGCCTCATTGCTTCTCTCTTACATACCGCCAAATGAAATCCTCCACCATCCACCGCCTTTTTGGTAGTCGATGGGTGTTGTTTAGAAAAATTTGAAGCAACCTGCAAGAAGTGGCTATGCTTCAGATTCGGTTTGATTAGAAGTCCATTTTACCCGAGTGAACGCAAACTCCATGATAAAGTGTTCAGTTAACGCGTGTGTGGAAGCGTCTAAACCTGCATGGTACATGGTAGGATTTAATTTAGACTTGGGGCAGCTAATCTTAAATGAGTTTTTGATGGATGACTGTTTGAAGACCTCGGCGCTTGCCATTATTGAGTGCTTCTTTACCGTTCTTTCACAGATGCACCGAAATTCCAGGCCAACCACACAATATTTTTCTCTTGGGAAGGCAATCCGGTCAACATCAGCTGTGATGTGATGTCTAACCCTCCGGCTACAATGCTGTGGAGAAGAGAAAAGTTGACCATTCCCAGCGAAGGTGCTGGAAACATGCGTGTGTACACTGCTCCTGGCAGATCTCTCCTCGAGGTACAGTATCACACACAGACACGCACACTGCTCTTTACACTATCTGCTGTTTTTGCTCTTCTAATCTCCTCAATAAGATCTGATGCAGATAATGAGGACCAGGGGAGTTAAGCCTAAAGTACACTTCATTTTTTATTCATGAGCGCGCAGTATTTTAAAGTAAGGCCAGATGGATATGACCTAAAATTAAAACATTGATTAATTGAACACTTTATTGATTGATTTCAACAATTATTGTATTTTACTTGTATTTACTTATTATTCATGTAATCATTTGTACTGTAAATATATAATTAATTATTAAAGCTGGAACATCTTTTTCTATTTAAAGAGCAGATTTATATTATTTGTGATATTAAAATCATTGAAGTAAACTAATGATTATTATTCAAACTGAGATTAAAGCAAACATTGCTTGAAATAAAGACAATAACATAAGGACATAAGGTCGCATGTCAGTTTTAGTGTGAAAGGTTTATCATACTTTAAGTGACTTTATTTTTTTTTTATTTTAAATAATTCCTTTTTTCATGTCAAAGGTAGTTTTTTTAGCAAAACAACAGTCAATTAATTTTATATATAATTCTCAGTCTGTCCACATGTTTTAGTTTGCAGGGTTAAAAAAAATGTAATAACCCACATAGTGAAATTGCATCAGTGATAGGCTATGAATTTTAGTTTTGCTTCCTTTTTGATTAATTGCTGAGCCATAATTTTATATGATAGCATATGGAAATGTGAGTGGTTGACACACACATGTCCAATGTCTGTGCTTTTTCTCTCCAAATGTTATCATTATAAATTGTGTAATTTATATTTTTTTAAATATAGTTGTGGGCAGTGTTGAGGTAGTGCTTTACAAGTAATGCGAGTTACACAATAATATTACTTTGCTAAGTAAAGAGTAAGATAATGTATTACTTTTAAAAACCTAAAAAGTTACTTTTTTAAAAAATGTTATGTAAGTTACTTTCTAGTTTGATTGCTCAATTTTTCCAAAATAAATAGCTGAAGTAAAATGAATGCAGTCACATTGAATCCTTCACTCAAAGGGAGAATTTGCTCCCCACGGAAACAGACAGAAACAAAGATGTACATATTTTAGTTCCACCCCAATTTAACACACCTGAACCAGCTAATCAAGCTCTTTCTAAGTTTACAAGAAACTTCCAGGAAGGTGTGTTGAAGAAAGTTGTAGCTAAACTCTGCAGGATACCGGCTCTCCAGGATCGAGTTTGTGTAGGTTAAACAGTGCATTGGTATTTGCAGAGCTCCTCCAACCCTGAAAGTTCTGAAAGAGATCAAGCCACAGCCAAGTAAGAAAAAGTAACTCAAAAATATCTCAAAAGTAACGTAATGCATTACTTAACATAAAAAGTAACACAAGTATTGTAACTAATTACTTTTTTGGGGGAGTAACTCAAAATTGTAATGCATTACTTTCTAAAGTAACTTTCCTCAATACTGGTTGTGGGTATTTTTTAGTTTCCTTGAGCATGTATGTATCTATTGTTTCTGCTATATTCAGAAGTTTGTTGTTCTTTTTGTGAGAACTGTGAACTGTGAAAGTGCCCCTGTTTGGTAGTGACACCTGATGGACAATCAAAGTGTTGCAAAAAATACATATGCAAATAATCTGGCTTTGCACATACAGTACAGTATTGTGATGAAATTCATCTCACTGTTCACACTTACGTGTAAAATTTTATTAATTAATTTTAATAAATATTAATTAATTTTAATAAATTATAATGCCAACTTTGTTTAATATCAAATATACAGAAGCAATATACTACTAAATGGTAGCACTTTACAATATGGTTTCAACTTCCATTTGCTAACATAGTTACCCTCGATTATTGCAGCTAACCTGATACTTCTATAGTGTTCATTAGTTAGGTTTACAATTTCAACAATGAATGCATTAGTATATACATTTTAATGGAAATGAGCTGAGATAAACTAACTAATTTTGTTTAGTAACCAACATTAGCTAAATGAATAAATGTTGTAAAATTGTTTTGCTCTTTGAAAGTTAATGCATTAAGTAGTGTTAACTAAACGACATTACTTCCAAGTGTTAGCAATAGAAATGTATAGAAATGCCAACTAGTAAAATATTTTTTGTGCAAAAACAACAACAAAAAATATTCAGTGTATTAATTACTGCTGATCATGCAGTTTATGATAGTATACATTTCTTTTGAGTCTTTTTAAAATTGTATTTATTTTGTATGATGAGCAGTTTCTAATATATTCAGAGCGATAGAATATTATTGCAGATTATTTGTACAAGCAGAGTTGTCTTTCTTAGGTAGCCTCATTGATAGAGAGAACTCTGACAAGACTCAATGACGTTTCACTTCTCTGGAAACAAAAAGTTTACCACATATTATCTGTGTCAAATGAGTACAGAACATCAAAACAACATTAATATATGTCAACAAATGTTTAAAATGACACTCATGTAAAAAATTATTGTATGAATGATCATGGTTCTCAGGTTACTCCGATGTCAGACAGAGATTTTGGCCGTTACAACTGCACAGCCAGAAACAACATCGGGATGCGCTTCCAGGAGTTCATCCTAGCACAGGCAGGTGCGTGTTCACCATGGGTTCAGCTCATCCATCTCGCTGATGCGTGTCTGTCGGTACAATTGCTGTGTGACAATAATGAATGTAGGTGTGTTGTAGAGGTGAAGTGTGTTATTACAGTTCCAGTTTTAGAAACAGTCATATACCAAATGGAGGGAAATAACTAGGTATAAAAAATAGGTCAAAAGCCCGTATTTTAAATTCTGCTTTTTGTGGTCAATGCCTGTACTATTGACACAATGAATATGAAATCCTATATGTACTAGACTGTTTTAATTATGACGCTTTTAACACCACAAGTACTAAAGTTTTTGTAGTTTGGCCCAATTTCTGTAGTTTTTATACAATGTAAAACATGCCAAAAGCAGCTTAACATAGATAGCAAAAATATTGCCTAGTTACTTTTCTTATGTGCCTATTCGTACTTTTCTCCAACCCTGTAAAGGTAATCTGAAAAAAAACCTGAGCATTGTTAACACTGCATAATATGAAACTGAAATAATATATCTAACACCTAACAGCATGTCCTAATGAAACATGATACTGCGACACATGATAAAAGGTACATGTTGTATTTCTGAAACATTAAAGCATGTGCAACGACATGAAAAAACTATGATAATGGTAATTAGGTATTGTATGTGTTATTGCTAAATGAGTTTAATGTGTGTATATTCTCAAAAAAGTGAAATATGTTTTGCATTTGATATAGAGAGTTGGTGTTAATGCACCAATGTGAACCTGATGTTTATTGTTCAGCAATAATAATGGATGAAATCTATATCAATAATTGAATCAAATCAAGAATCAGAACCAAATCTTGTGTACCAGAACATACTCAGCACTACTTTTTGTAGTGTGTTTTTGTGTGTTTTTAGGACAAGATATATGTATATAAGTCTGTCTGTGAGTCTAAAACCAAAGTTAATGAACCAAATTAAAATCAGTTCAAAGATAGCAGGAAATTATATGATCATTCGTGTAATAAGAACCTCACAAGGCTGGCAAGGAACATCATTTCGAACCCAAGTTATTTGTTCATCATGAATTTATACCATTGAAGTCTAAGTGTTGATTTAGAATCCCAAGTTTTAATAAAATGACATTTAAAAAGTCATTTGTACATCAGGCTGTCTTGGAGCTAAAAAGGCCTGTGTAAAATGATTTTTTTTTTTTTTTTTTGGATGAATTGTTTTATTGAATGTCTTTGTTTCTTTGTAATGAGATTTTATCATGCTGTTATGCAAAAAAAAAAATCAGATGCAAATCTGACAATAAAGTATTGTATCGTATTAATAGTGGAAAAAAGATATTCATTAGCATTCCCATTCATCTCAAGTGCAGTTGTTTGACCATCTGAAGTGACAAATAGCGTATATTTTGAACCCTTTCAAAAGAAATGGCAAAACTAGTTTTGAATAGTCGTTGTTCAAGAAACACAGTTGTTTGTACCCCGATGTTGTCATTCATATGCTTACCAGTCAAAGCTTGACCTCTTTTATTCTGATGTCAATTTTTAGCTCAACCAATGGCATTAATTGATGGGCAGGACAATCTGTTTGGCCAAATAAAGGCACATGAGCTTATGATTATTTAAATTCCTCCAGATGTCGCTGAAATGGCACACCTCACCTTTAAGGCTTGAATGAATTTAAGGTGCATTAAAAAGTTCCTACCAGTCTTGCTCTTGTCAAAGCCTGTCCATGTTCATGTAATCACCTCAGAACATAATAATAACTTTTGCACAAGGCAAAATGCCATGACAGCGCCGCAAATAAACATGTTTGCTTTCAGAAACAACCTGTTTCCAGTGCTTTGAAAGGCTTATGCCAGAAGCTTTTTCAAATATACTGCAGATCACTCTGACAAAGCGTTGTGTTCACTGTTAAACTGTTTGTGTCATGAATGTGTAACCAAATGAAAACATGTGCAGTATATATAAGTATGAGCTTGTTGTCATCTCTCTTTCTAGCTGACAGGCAAAAGTGGATTCTGTCACCACTTTTTTTCTGTCCATTTTGCCTTTTTCTCTCAAGTGTTTCTTTCTATCCCACTGTCTCCTTCACTGGCACATCCTCTCCATGATTCACTATAACACACACACACACACACACACACACACGCACATCTTATTTGTTTTTCTCTGTCTTACTGCTACCTCTCCTTGTTTTCGGTACTATTTCTCTCTCCATCAGCAGTCACGGATCTCCCATTATCAGATGGTTGTTATTCAGAGCAGTGTTTTGTGTTTTCTGGTTTGGCAGGGCAAAAAAAAGCACGAGGGATGGCAAAGGAGATCTGAACTCTGCCGTGCCACTGACAATGCATGCATGAAAGATTTAAGCAGAGTACAACATGTTTTCATGCCAGTTTGTCTATAACATTGTTTGTGTTATCTGGGGAATATGAGATATAATAAGTGCTTCTGTTTTGTTTAAGCCTGCATGTAATCTGAACATGACTAAACGCAGGTCACAAAGCCGTTATTTAGTAAATATATGATGTGTGAGCAAAGATTATTTTGGTAAACTAGGAAAAAATCTATGATATAAAATAAGTTATTTATAATTAATAAATGATTTAAACTAAACTGGCAAAATTCAATGAAAAACAAACCAAAATAAAATAATAAATATCTAAAACTAATAATTCATTAATTCGTTTTCTTTTTGGCTTGGTCCCTTTATTAATCTGATGTCGCCACAGTGGAATGAACCCCCTAAAATGAATAATAGTTTTTATAATTTGTTAGCACTCATTGTATAATATCTGAATTATAGCTCATTATAACTGATATCTGAAATTAGAATTAGGTTTAGACTTTGCGCCTGTAAATTGTTTTTATTTTATTTTAGTCATGCATGTTGCTTTTTTGCAGTAGGTCAATAACAGATATATTGCATACAATATAATACATATTAATATATATCTATTTTGAGGGAGTTTCGTAAATAATTGTATTCTACAGCAACCGTCACTGAGGATCTTACCACCCAGACCCATACCAATCCATAAAAAGTCTCGCATCACAGGTCTGGTTTGTACCAGAGTTAATGTAAGCTTTGCTAACACTAAACTTTTCTCTGGTTGACACTGGATGTGTTAAATTTGCTAAACTACAATTAATAAATCTAAATCTAAATATATATAAAATAAATAGAAATGTGTTCACAAAATAAATATGAAAACTAAAACTAAGAAAATCGTTTATGAAACAAAATTAAACTAAATTGAAATGAACAAAAAATTAAAAAAAAATAAAAATGCAAGGTCCCACTTTATTTTGATGGTCCATTTGTTGAATTTAATTTACATTTCATCTACATGCCAACTTATTAGATTATAAGTAGGCTGTCAGGTTGGGGTTAGGGTTAGTGTAAGTTGATATGAATGTCTGTTGAAGGAGCATTATCAACTGATATAAAGCAGACAGTCAACTAATACTCGAATGGACCATCAAAAGAAAAGTGTTAACAAATGCAAGACTATAATTACCTTGGTGTAAAAACCATTTATCAAGTAATTTCCAAAAAGTTTTCAAGTTTTCATCGACCAAAAGATACAGAGCTACACAAAAACAACAACAAAACAAAAAAAACACTGACATTGCAATATTTAGATTTTTTGACACTTATATAGCCATTATGAAAACAAATACAATAGATGAGAGGATGAGTAGCCCTGTTTAGAAATGATTTATTATTTTAGAATAATGTGTGTGTTTTAGGGGAGTTTAGTGAAGTAGAGAGTATTGACAGGAATGTGTGGGGAGAGGAAAGAGAGAAAGGGTCAGCATAGGACCTCGAGGTGGGAATCGAATGTGTCGACCCACTAAATACTACGCCATTGGCGCTGATATTTTTTATTTATTTTTAATAATAACTAGAAAAAAATTCTTTGTATTAACTAATGCAGTATACATATGTTGTATGTATTTATAATGAACTTAATACAGTAAAAGCAATCTTATTTATAACACAATGTCTAGTTAACCTGCACCTGATTTTGCTTTGATTTGCTTGCAAATGTCTTCTGCGTTGTCCGTCTGTCGAGTGACAGTTTTTACATTTTCATGAAGTATTTATTCACGTATTGACAATTAACATTTAAATGAAACATTTAATTTCAGTTGGCTTTTTTTGTAGCTCAGCAATAAAACAAAAAAAGATTATTTTAAGATAGAAATGACTATTTTTATTCATAAAATCATTCGCCTTAACGCTGCCCATCATTTGTACTCCTTTCTCTGATGGGATTTTGGGGCAAATTAAAGGTTACTACGGGACAACTTTGGCCCACAGGCCCAAGTTTGGACATCTCTGCATTAAATAAACAGTGCTTTCGTATATTTCTAACAGTTTTTATTTACAGTAATGTACATTTCGTAAAAAATAATTTGTAAAATAACTGCACGGTTTTCATTCATTCATTCATTCATTTATTTACTTTTTGGCTTAATCCCTTTTATAATCCGGGGTCGTCACAGCGTCACAGCCAACTTATCCAGCACGTTTTTGCGCAGCGGATGCCCTTCCAACCGAAACCCATCTCTGGGAAAAACTGCACGGTCTTCACTGTATGAATTTAAAACAATTCCTCTCTGTTAAAAAGCCACAAATGTAGTCAAAGCTTTAAACTTTCTAGGAATGTTTAATGTTTACAAGCTTAAATACATGTGCAAATGATAAACATTATCTTTAGAATATAATGGTTCAGCATTGCAATTAATCCACATGCATTCTGAACTGTGGTGCCTTTTCTGCTGTTATCGCTACTTGACATTGTACTTTCTGCAATGCGACTTGCTGATGCACAGTGTGGTGTCAATGCTTATAGCATATGATACATTTTACCAGTATGAATGCAGCGCTCTGTTTCACACATATGATCATAATTAAACCCACTGTGTTCAAGGATTCAAGCTTGTCCCCGACAGTCATCTGAAAATATGAGAAAAAGATTTAAATATATAACTTTGAGGAGCACTCAGCACTTTGCATTGTATCAAGCTGTTCAACCGATTAAACACAAGTTTGAATATCGCTGTATCAACAGTCTTGATTTAACTCCACAAAACAGAGGAACACAACTGAGTGAATAAGCTCTGGAGCTCTGAGAAATAGTGCTTGATTTATTTAAAAAAAAAAATTATTATACAGGACTTGATTGGTGGGTTTGTTTTTATTGATGCTGCCCAAAGATTAATTACTATTAATTGCATCTAAAGTAAAAGTTTTTAAAAGTTCATTCTGTATACATAAATACACACATGCATGCATATTTAGATATTAAATAAGTGTATGATACACATTTTATAGAAATTTAAATATCTACAGTATGTGGCAAAGTTTTGTTTAGTTTTGTATTTATGTATGTGTTTGTATCATGCACATATATATTGTCAAAAACTTTTATTTTGGATGCGATTAATCTTAATAATCTGTAATTATTAATAATATTATGATTACTGAATGGAATCATGTTATCCACTAGCGTCTTTTAAGATGCCTGTTCAAAAGCATGTTATCATGATTTTACCATGACTTTTAGCCAGACTTTTTTTTAATTAATAGAGTTTGACACTACTGCTTGTATTAAAATCCGCAAAAAAAAAGAAATTAGTGGATTATTTTGAAGAGGCAAAATTTAAGAGAATTATATTTTTTATTATAAAATTTTAAATAAAATAAAATAAATAAAAATAAAGGGTGGCGCAGTGGGTAGCGTTGTCGCCGCACAGCATGAAGGTCACTGGTTCGAGCCTCGGCTGTGTAAAAAGAAAAGAAAAGAAAAGAAAATCAGATCAGAAAAAAAAAAAATCAGAAAAAAATAAAATGGGAATCACCAGAACTAAAATAAATATTTAATATGTAATTTACAGTTAATAAATAATAAAAACTAAACAAAACTGACAAAAGTCACTGAAAAACAGACTTATATAAAAATAGTTATCTAAAATCATAAGCACTCATTTTGTCTGTTAGAAAATCAAACAGAAATCAAGCACTTCAGTCAAGTGAATAATTGTATGCAAATACTTATACTTATGATTATACAATTAAATTATTACTATTCAAAAATAAAATAAAATAAAATAAAATAAAATAAAATAAAATAAAATAAAATAAAATAAAATAAAATAAAATAAAGTAAAATAAAATAAAATAAAATAAAATAAAAATTCTGAGAATCACCAAAATGAAAATTATCCAAATTGTATTGCATTCCAGAGTTAACATATACCAAGATGGAGCCAGCTGTGGTAAGGTTTTAGTGACTAATGACTGCTGAAAATATTTCCAAACAAAGATGCAGTTCAGTGATTCATTCATAATTACATTAAATTGCTTTAAAGAGTCATCTTACTCTTAATACAAGTCAGTTCATCTGTAAATTCTCTGTTTTATCAGCACCGTATTTTGTTTCGTACTTGTTTTCTATACTTCTTTTCTTTCTGGATGAAGACACTTTTTAATTGGACATGTGAATGGCTGACAAACACATGCTAATACTTAATGTTGATCCCTGTTTAAAGAATAGGTTAATCACAGTAACTTGTTTTGTTTTGGCCTAATCCTGTTTGTATGTTTTAATTTGGATTTCTCAGCCTTCATAAAATAATAAGATACACAGGGCTTCATTTAGGGGTGAATTCAGGTCAATTGGGACACTTTTTACCACTAAGATTAGCAAGAAAAATTGACCTGAATCCACACTACTGTATTTTATCCCAAATATGGACAAACCCAAAATCTTTTCAGATTAATTGCTTAAATCGTATTTAAGTAATTGTTGGCTTTAACCACATTAAGCAAGGTCAGGATTAATAACCAAGCATTTTCTAATCATTACCGATGGAGTAAAGTCTAGTCATTTTTTATCTGAGTGTTTTTGTGTCTATAAAAGACTCTCACTGGGAGATCCTGGCTTGTAAGACCCTGAAAAGCAGCTCTATAACTCTGTTTTCTAGCCCACAGAAAGACACACAACCAGTTCCTTTGATAGTCTCAGAAAGTGTGGCCTCGGCACATAAATGGAGTTGTTTGTTAGTCTCTCTTCCCCTGACCCATAATTTCTCTGTCACAGATGTTCCCTCAAACCCTTACTCTGTTCGGCTGAGCTCTGTGGCTCAGCGCGTGGCCACAGTTACCTTCACCAAGCCAGACTCTCATGGCGGCGTCCCCATCAGTCACTACCTGGTCAAATACAAAGACATCAGCTCACAGGACTGGAAGGATGTCAAATCGCTGGGGACGCAGAGTAAGTACAAAGGTTATCTGCTGCTACACTGAAATAAAAAAATATTAATTGAATTTAATACATTATTTAAAGGTAAGTAGTTGCAAATAATTTATATGAGCTGAATTTAAGCAAACAAATTAAATTTAATAATGCTCAACCTTATTTGTGTTCAAATTCTGCCTATATAAATTGTTTACAACTACCTTTATAACTAATTTCAGTGAAGGTTTTATCAATATTCACTCATACAGTTTTATTATTCACTCATACAGACTTTTGCGGAAAATTGCTGGTAAGGCCATTTTTGAAAATAACTGTGTGAACGCAGAAAGAAAATTGTCAAATAGAGTACCGTAAACGTCTGCTCCAGCCAATCTGTTCATGAAAATATACTTTTCCAGACACATTTAGCTACTAGATAACGTTTCTATGTTCATTATATATGCCAACTGTGGATAAAATGATCGATATAATGCTTATGATAAACCGCTGTGAGGTTACCTGCAATCCCTGCATTTAACTGCGCGGCACTCATGCACGTGAAATGTACATCTCGACATGTGAAAGTGTTCCTCCATATGTTTACATCGAAGTATTTCCCAATATTTATCCATTAAAATAATTTGTAATGTAGTCAAACATGTAAATATGTAGCTGTCGTTGGTGCTTCTGCCTTCAAATGTCTTTAAGACAAAAGTAGTTTCATGAATGATAAAGCTTTAAATAAAAGTGAAACCGTCAACAAAAGCCGGACCCCTTCTGTGTTTCGTTACCTTAGAATTCTAAGGTTCTATCTGACAGTTTTGTCAAAATTGAGTTATTTACATATTCCTATTAAATGACAGCTGATTTACATTGTTTTTATAAGTTGTTTACATTTTAAGACTTTTTATTTAAAAAACAAAAAAGGTTTCAGCTACAAAGTTGAACTCTAGCATGGCTCTATAAGGTTCCTTCTGTGAGACAATCAGCCTTTTTAATGCATGCATGAGGACCAATCAAGATCAGCTTTCTTTGTCATTTCGCCGGACAGCTCCATTGACAGCAGGAAAGACCAGAAAGACAAAGTCACACAAATATCAGAGTCGGCTAAATAATGCCGCACCACATAAAATTTGTGTAAGTGTGATGAATCAGAAGCATTTTTTGACATTGGGATGAAATGTTAAATTTTGCATTGTTAAAAAAAAGGATATTAAAACATGTCCATATTAAAAGTTAAATATTTTATTTATGTATATATAGTCAGTGAAACATTTTTCAGTATCTATTAAACTCATTTACTCATTGTCTGTTTTCTTTCAAAGTCTTTTAATTTGATATTAAGCCTTGAAGAGCAAATACTTACTTAAATTCATGGAGCATAAATTTCAATAAATGTAATTCAATAATTCACATAAAGCATACAATTTAATGAATATTAACATATTAATTTGATAAAATGAACATCTGCACTGGACAAAATGTTTAGCAACGCCTTGTATGCTTAATTTGAACAAGAAAAATATTCATCCTAAAACATGAAATAAATGTTATAAAACGTATTATAAATGTTAAAACATTTTTACTTTCTCAAGCATCATATATTGTTAATATATCATATTTAAGCATCAACATATTGTTGCAATACCAATTTATATATTTTTTGATTGTATTTCTTGATAAGTAATGATTCAATGAACGATCTGCCAGATAGAATCTTATCGTTCCAAGTGGAAAAAGACCTTTTTAGGTTTAGAAGGTTCTGTCTACATTTACCCAGTTTTTTTTTTTACTCCAATTTGCAAATGTAAGAGAATGTTGATAATTTACATTTAGAGTACATTTAGGGTCTCTGTCTTGTTTATGTATAAAAGAAAAACTGTTACACACATATTGTTTGCCATATGGATAGCAAAATCTTTGAAGCTCAATATCTTAAAGTCACATAGAAAGCAGATAGAGCCTTATAATTCCAAGGCGGTGGTTTATAAATACAAGCACAGCTGTTTAGAGCTCACTTCTGGTTAATAATGTCAGAATTTCCCGATATTTTGGAATGGATATTCGATTGGTCTTTTACAGAACAATCCCATAACGTCCTTGCCTGTGTGAACAACACATTTTTGAATTTACTGGTCGTTCCAGATATTTTTCAGGATATTTATCGGTATTACTTTGTGAAAGGGGCTAATGTCTATGTTTAAACTATCAAACAAATTATATGTGAAACTATACCAAACACACACTTTACTATCTTTCTGTTTGAAAGAAAAGCATTTATCCAGCAAAGATAAAAGTTTTTGTTGTTTTTTCATTATCAAAACTTACATTAAACACATAATGAAATGTTATTTTCCCTGCATGCTGTTCTTTTAGTTTCCTATTTGTGAAATGATCCTGCAGCAAATAACATCAACAATTATAATCCTTTCCTTGAGATTGGAGTAATGATGCTTTACAGTTTTTGCCATTAGATTAATTCAGTTTTAGCACTTTATTTATGATTAAATAAATCAATCTTTAGTGAGTAGAAAAGAGTCAAAATATCTTATAAAGGCCATATTTATGTTAAGGTGAATTGAGTGTTGATTTTAAGATTTACGAATTTCATTTAAATCAGTAAATCATTACCTGAAGACTCTCTCTGCCTGGGTCGTTTCAATCAGTGAGTCACTTCCTGGAGACTCTGGCTGTTTCTCAATATGTGTTCTTCAGTGGTCTTGCGTCCTCGTGTTCTCGTGTAACGTCATCAGCTGCCAAAGTTCAGTTCCAATACTCAAGACCACAAGTACGGAGGACGGGTGAAACTACCCGGATGTGTTCTTGATATCGAAGACGCACCAATGCAGACTTGAGCACTGCTCTCAACACAGCATTTTATATAGGTTTAATATTCAAGTTCAAAGATATAACTTGTTTACCTCAGGACTTTCCCTAAATGAAAAGGTGAATATAAACATTACAATGAACATCCTAATAAAGGAATAAACACATTAAGGGTGTTTGTTTGCTGAAATTCATATTAAAATCTGTTTTATTTATATTGTGCAACATATATGTATAATGTTTATATGCATAGTATATATTTTGAAAAGGGGAAAAACAATAAATCATTGTATGAATGCTTTAATGTTTAAATCATTTTTTATAAAAAATGCGTGAAGGTCATGCGACCATCAGGAAGAACGCAGCATCTCATTTCTTACTGGATGCGTTCTCTGTTCTTGTGGTCTCCCGAGTTCGTTCTTCCATGGACACTGGCAAAACCGGTCTTCACAAGAACACAAGTCCGTTCTCTGGATTCTTTGAATTGAGAAACAGCCTCTCTCGGGCTGGATTGTTTGAATCAGTGAATCACTATCTGGAGAATCTTTCTGACTGGATCATTTGAATCAGTGTATCACTACCTGGAGACTCTTTCTGACTGGATCATTTGAATCAGTGAATCACTACCTTGAGACTCTCTCTGATTGGATCATTTGAATCAGTAAATCACAACCTGGAGACTCTCTCTGGCTAGATCATTTGAATCACTGAATCACTACCTGAAGATTCTCTCTGGCTGGATTATTTGAATCACTGAATCACTACCTGAAGATTCTCTCTGACTGGATTATTTGAATCACTGAATCACTACCTGAAGATTCTCTCTGACTGGATTATTTGAATCAGTGAATAATTACCTGAAGATTCTCTCTGACTGGATTATTTGAATCAGCAAATCACTACCTGAAGACTCTCTCTGACTGGATCGTTTCAATCATTGAATTACTACCTTAAGATTCTTTCTGAAGATCATTTGAATCGGTGAATCATTGCATGGGCACTTTTTCAAAATGGATTACTTGAATCAGTTAAACTTTATCTGAAGATTAATTTTTACTAAATCATTTCAACAAGCAAATCATTACAGGAGACTTTCTCTGACTGGATCATTTAAATCAGTGAATTACTACCTAGAGACTCTCTCTGACTGGATGTTTTGAACCAGCAAATCACTGGATGGAGGCTTGCTCTGAATGGATTACTTGAATCAGTGAATCTTTAACTGAAGATTAATTTTTACTGAATCATTTAAACCAGTGACCCATTACTGGATATTCTATCTGACTGGATAATTTGAATTATTAAAAACCGATATAATTAGATCAACAGATTTAACAGGTTAATGTGAATAATCATCTAAATTATAAATCTGAAACTGCTAGATTTCTCTAGTTTAAAATAACAGAACCACACACAATGTAGTAGAAAACAAGATATTATGCTTTGGAATGTAAAGTTTTTGCAAATTAAATGACTCCACCAAGTACAGTACATGTGGTTAAGAACATTAGGGATATAATAAAACAAAATAAACTGAATGAATCTGCGTTATCAGTGGTTATCGGCTGATATATGGGCCAATAGAGGCCTTTTGAGCCTACCAGCAGGTTGCTATCATCCATTTGCATGAATAATCAACTACAGATCACATACGGCTGCAGGCGGAAGTTAACAAGAATTATTTATATTATTCATTAAATGTCCCATTAATTGTATTTTATTAACGTCTACCCCTACCCCAACCCTGAACCCAACTGTCACAGTAATGTAAAAACAAAGCTGGATCTGGAGCCTTCTTTATTAGTATAGCCAATTAACCTTGTGGATGGATGATAACAGCCTTCTGAACCTACTAGTAGGTACAGAAGGCCCCTACTGGCCCAAATCTATCAGCTGATAACTAATGATAACCCCCATTTAATTGAGTCCTAACATTCGTAGGGGGTGGTATTGCTCATAATTTTACTCACAATTTTTATTTTTTCATCTTGACTTCAACTTGAACCTTCAGGTATCAGTCTCACTACGTTCACAAACACAAAAGAACAGGCCAAACTTTAACTCAGAGTCCGACTTCAAGGAGCAAAACAGAAATGTGAGAAAAGCTATGGGACATATAACTCTAGTCCAAACTTACAGATCTTAAACTGATTTTTTTTCACCCACATAACTCGGACAGTTATATTTAAACTCTGAGCTAATATTTAGGTAAAATCCTGAAAAGGCCTGTTTTCCAAGAGCATTTCTGAAGTCATGTACATGATTTAGGAGACCATATATTGGGACTTAGCATGTTCCTTACAATCAGTTCTTTTAGTTCATTCATCATTTGACTTAGAGAATAGTTAACTAAAGACTCGCTCTGACCAGACCACTTGAATAAGCCAGAATTTACGTAATTTTCCCTTAATAACAAATATTTTGCACAGATGTTGGAAAAATGCACTAAAGTACAGTAATGAAGTCAAACATTTCACAGCAGCCCTCACTGTACATATTTGTAGTCAATTTCAGAGCTCCAGCAGGTATACTGTAGCAGAAAAATGTACGTTTATATTGATTTTTATCAGCTTGACTTCAGCATAAACCTCCAGGCATCAGTCTCTGTACACTTACACACACACACACACACACACACACACACACACACACACACACACACACACACACACACACACACACACACACACACACACACACACACTAAATATATTAAAACTAATAGAACAGCCAAAACTTTTACTCCATACTGACATCAGGGAGCAAAACAGAAAAGTGAGAAAAGCTATGGGAGATAAAACTCCAGTCCAACCTGAACTTACCAAGCTTAAATTGATTGTTCTTTATCCAAAACATCCAAATAGCTAAAAATGGATTCAGAAAATAATCAGATAAGCAACTTCAAGGACTTTGAGCCAATCAACATAATCCTGAAAAGGCCAGGAGCATGATTGGATAAAGCATTCATTTGAAATTATTACATGATTTAAGAGATCACTTCAGGACTCAATTTCTTTCTCTCTCTTTTCCTCCTTCTGTTCCGCAGCTATTGTGTTGCTTACCAACCTTGAGCCCAACACGACCTACGAGGTGAGAGTATCCGCGGTGAATGGGAAAGGTCAAGGAGAGTTCAGCCACACAGAGAGCTTTCAAACCCTGCCCATACGTGAGTGCTTTCCACTTTGACCCGTAAATAGCGTAGGCTTGGGAAAACAAGTATGTTGAGATAATGGATGAATATGAATATAAATGCTGTTTGGTCATTTTTTTGTTCAGGAGAGCCAAGTCCCCCATCGGTTCAGGGTCAGAGAGGGGTTGGAAAGGCATATCGGTTGGGTCTGGTCAAGCAGGATGACGGAGGAATGCCCATACTGGAGTACATCGTCAAATATAAAACAGTAAGAGAGCTTCTGTTAAAGTCACTTTTGATGTAGAGGAGTTTTGTAAAGGAAATGTTGAGGCTTCATCAAGTCTCTATAGCTATGTTTCCATACAAAAATGCAAATTACTTGATGCGCAAATCTGGATTATTGCATACAGTACTAGATGTAAAGGAGCGTTTCAATCCAACGAGTCAAAGCGAACAAAATCGTCACTTCCTGATTAACTGGCACCAAATTTCAACAGTAAAAACGGAATTTGCTGCAGTAGGAGAAGCTGCACGAATCTTTTCTTCATTTTATAAATGACTTGTGCCTAAGAAAGGCAATCTTGACATGCAGTAAACATGTGGTAGCGTTTGAAGGCATGAGACACGGAGCACAGACCTCTTGATTCTAGAGGTAATTAATAATAGAATAACACTAATACTGAAATGGTTAATGTGTTTTAGAATGACCAAAACAACATTTCAGATGTTTTACAGTGTGCTCAGCCTGCTGGTTTATTCATTCACACACAATTTTATCATCACACGATCTCTTATAACTTTTTTAATGCACATACTGGAATTTGTTCAGTAAAAATGTTTCCATTGCAGTTTATGCATATATTTTCTCATTGAATAAAAAGTTTGTCTTAGATATGCACATTCGTTTTATATGTGCATTTTCAAAGTTTGTGCGCATCTTGACGTTTCCATCAACTGTTTTTATGCGCATATTAAAAAGTTGCATAAAAAGAGGTGGATGAAAACATAGCTAGTGTCATTTACAAACAGTAACACAGATTTTTTTAATTGTCTTGATTTTATTTTCTTGAATTTTAGTTTTTTGTGTGAATAGTTTAATTGGTTCCGTTTGGAAGTCCTATGTTTTAATTAGATTGCTTTTAACTAAAACCTTGATGTAGCTGATCAGCAGTTTCTCGTTAATGAGGGGATGTGAGGCAAAAATCCAAACAATTTTTCTGAACTTCTGAAAAATCCCTCTAAAAAATATTGTTGTCTATTTTTTTAAACAAGGCAAGTTTATAATTTATATAGCACATTTAATTCACAATGGTAATTCTAAATGTTTTATATCAACATAAATAAAAGAGACAACTATAAGAGAATAAAAACAACAAAATGTTTTTTTAAAGATATAAAAAAAACTATTAAAATGTGTAACAATATGTTTTAAAAGAATGAAAAAGAAAAGTAAGACATAATAGTGTGATCTGTCGGACATAGCGCAGTTCTCTTTCAGTAAAAGCACAACTAAACAGATGTGTTTTCAGTCTTGATTTGAACGTGCCTAATGTTGAAGCACATCCGATCATTTCTGGGAGCTGATTCCAGCAGTGGGGAGCGTAGTTGCTGAAGGCGTATTCACCCTGCTTTGACTGAACTCTTGGATTTTTTAGTTTATTTGATCCTAATGATCAAAGTGGTCTGTTTGTATTCAGTGAGTATATCTGAAATGTATTGTTTTCTTAGGCCATTTAGTGATTTATGGACAAGTAATATTACTTTAAAATCTATCCTGAATGTAACTGGGAAAATAGGGGACCTTCACTCGCTTGTTTCTTTGACAATGTTTCTGGATTGCCTGCATGCATCTGTTTGCCTGAGTTGACCTTTGCTTACCTGACCTCGCTAAAAAACTTTATTTGGATCCACACCCCTGTTGTAAGTGTCACATCCCCATTACAGAAGGCTCAGCAACAACTGTGTGTTAGTGTGCTGTATTTATAGTGCATTAATCAGTCTAAAAGCAGCTTCAGCTGTGAGTGTCTAATCAATGGTGACTTGGAGCAGGAGAGTGTGTGTGTTGCATGACTGGGTGCTGTAGTCCAACATAGTGGCTTTGTAGTTCATGTGAATGTGAGTTTGTTTATTAGCAATCTCTATTTGCAGATCGCTGATGATCGTGACAGTATTAATTATGCAGCATTGTAACCAGGCCCGGATTGGCTAATCGGGAGGACCGGGAGAATTCTCGGTGGGCCGGTCCGTTTTTTGGCCGTCTGTTGCTCGCCCGTCTGTTGCTGTTGCATATCTTTCTCATTTGCTGTGTCTCTGATCGCCTGTGCATGTGGAGGTGAGAACAGGGGAAATGGAGATGTCACAGCCAGGGGAGACAGCAAGCCTGAGGACTGTCAACATGTGAAAGGCACATTCAACCATTTAGCCTTTAAAGAGCTGAGGCGTTTTGAAAATGTCAAAATACAAAAGCATTGAGTTTTTGAAGGCAGCATGTGTGGGCTTGGTTTCAGAATTTTAGCCGGCAGAACACACGCATAATATTACACTTACACTCGTGCTCAAATGCTCTGCAGGCAGGAACACAAAGAGATTAATGGATGCGTCTGAGTGTTTCTGCTGTCTGTATGTGGAAAAGTTTGAGAATTACAGAAAAAAAAATGTCTTCTTATCTGTTGCTGAGAAGGAAGGGTCAGATGACCTCTTATTCTTCATTTATATAGTTTCTATTTTCTGTTGAACACAAAAGAGGAAAATTGTAACCATTGACTTCATAGTTAAAAAATAAATACTTTTTAAGAAGTCAATAGTCCCTAAATTAGCCAGGGGTCGCCATAGTTTGCATTCACACACATACATTACAGCTAATTTAGCTGATTCAGTTCACCTCTACCCCATGTCTTTGGACTGTGGGGAAAACCGCCAACATGAGGAAAACATGAAATGCACAGAAATCCTCACAGAAATGTCAACCGACTCAGCCGGAGCTCAAACCAGCTACCTGTGAGCAGATCGTGTTACCTACTGCGCTACCGTGACACCCTAAAAACAATCATTCAATGAATGAATGAATGAATGGATGAATAAATAAATAAATAAATAAATAAATAAATAAATAAATAAATAAATAAATAATACCACCTGACCTTAGAAAAAATACGAAATACTGTGGGAGGCCGTACTGATATGTTTTTCTCATCAGGCGACCTGCTTTAAATCACATAAAGAAATTAGACCCCTCAGCTATTTCAGAAGAGTAAAACGTTTTCATGTTTTTTATTTATTTATTTTTATTTTTTTTTTATTGTCATTTATTTATTTATTTTTTCTATTTTTTCTTCCCATATATACAAGAGTAACATATGTTTTGCTTAATATTATTATTTATTTGTATTTTATCTTAATATTATTTATATATTTTTATAGAACCTAAATGTATGTGTGACAGGTTTTGTTTGTTGTGTAAAAAATAGAAAAAGTGAAAAGCTATTTGTACTGTATGTTTCATATCTAATATGTTCAATAAAAATACTTTCAAAAAACAACATAATAATAATAATAATAATAATAATAATAATCGAAACTTTGTTTTTCAACCAGCAGGATTTTTTAACCATTTGACAGCAATTTTATATATGCTTACTAGCCTGAAGTAAAGATCATATAGATCCATTATGCTGAACGACACTACAACATTATATCACTCTATAACTATGACATATGCTTTCGATAGCCATAAAATTGTCTTTGTAAATTAAATTTCATGCTGACACCAAAATGAAATGTCTTATCATCAAAGTCAGAGTAAAAATCAACATTCACACACCTGTGTTGTGGCAACAAGTTGTAACATTTATGTATCCAAGATCAATGAAAACTAATTGTTCAAACTAGTCATATTTGCCCTAAAGCCAATTGCACCATCATGTGTATATCCACGTGCGTGTTTTAAAAAAGATTTGTGTTTTTTTTTTCCAGGATAAGGAGGAGCAATGGATGACAAAACTTGTTCCAGGTGTGAATGATTTCGTTCTGCTTCAGCCGCTCCAGTGGAATACACAGTATGAGGTGGAAATCACTGCACGCAACGTCAAAGGCCTTTCTGAACCCACCGTTGTGAAGTTCTCCATGCCTCAGAAACCTGATATCACAGGTACACGCACTTCCACAACACATGCACTTCACATGACAGATTAAGTCCGATTACCTGCAGCACTTCATCACCCACTCACAATATCTATAGCTGAAATTATATGTCTCCTATTATAATTACACGCTCTGCCACAGTTCAGCACACTTGCCAAGCCGCCCACGCTTGAAAACTCAGATTCCCAATCAAACATGCGGGGTAACCCACTGTAACCATTTCTGTATCCTAATCAAGTGCAAGTTGTCTGAAGCATTGTCTCCTCTAGGAAAAAAAAGAATGAGAAAGAATTTATCGCTACATAAATGTCCAGTCGTTAATTCTTGCGTATGCTTGTGATTGGTTGTGAATAATACTTTTATAAGAAGCCTTTTAATATTTGAGTTACTAGTTCCCGATAGAAAATATACTTTTCCCAATCCCCCAAGCTCTGCTGGATAGTGAAGTTGATAGCTGAGGCAGGTGATCAAACAGACAGGAAAACACAGGAAGCGCAGATTGACAGAAGAGATTTGCGTTCCCATCAGTAACACAACGCTGCTTTTTCTAATGCTATTTAAACGGAGAGCAATGTCGGGGTAAACACATATTAAAGATGACGTTTGATTGCTTTAAAATCTCTGCTTTGTATGCTTTTCTCTGTTGTCGGTTTCAAATAAAACTCAAGGTATTGTCATTTAATACACTGTAAACAGAAAAGCACAAGATTTTACACCTGATTGGGAGATGGATTTCGAAAACACATTTAACAGACAAGTGCAACAGTGTTTTTTTCTCTGGCAAAGGATTCCAATTGGAATATATTTTGCTTACAGTACATGATAATATGATGTGTTTTTAGACAGTTGATATATCAAAGTTTTGTATCAACGTGGGTTTTAACTAAAAACCCTCCTTTCTAGTTATGCCTACCTTAATATACATTAAACATTATATTTAATTAGAGCTGCACACTTCTGAATAAACAAAGAATCATGATGGCTGGTTTTGTTTGTTTGTTTGTTTGTTTGTTTGTTTGTTTGTTTGTTTGTTTGTTTGTTTGTTTGTTTGTTTGTTTGTTTGTTTGTTTGTTTGTTTGTTTGTTTGTCTGCACTGTAAAAACTACTTGGTTCCTCACAACGGATTTGTGTTGGGACAACATGAAGGAATTGAATTAACTTGTAAGTTAAGTGAATCAAACATAAAACAATTAAGTTGTCCCTAAAAACCTAAAGAATTGTGTTGTTTATGCTCTTTTTAAATAAGTAGTTTGAACAAGCAGAAAATTTAATTGTTTGTTTGTTTGTTTGTTTGTTTGTTTGTTTGTTTGTTTGTTTGTTTGTTTGTTTGTTTGTTTGTTTGTTTGTTTGTTTGTTTGTTCGTTCCTTTGTTCCTTCGTTCCTTCGTTCGTTCCTTCGTTCGTTCCTTCGTTCGTTTGTATGTAAAAAGAGTGTTCACAGTTCTCCCATGATTCTGAATAAATCGCTTAAAAAATAACAAATAATTTATTAGAAGTTTGAGTATCTTATTACATGTTTATTAAAACTAAATTTGTTGTTTTTATCTATATTTTTATCTTAAACTAATATGTAATTTTATGATTTTGAAAGGTTTGAAGTGAAGGTAAATCATGATAGTTTAGACTTTAGATCGCCTGGGGGAATTGAGATCTTACAGCTCTAAATTAAATTCTTATATGAACAGTGAATTATTGTAACATAAAAAAATCTGTTTTGTTTTTTTTTCTTCTTTTCTGAAAATTCTATTTTTTAAACTATTTATCAATCAAAACATAATTAATTCATGAAAAAACACAAGTGTATACATTTTTAAATATATTAATATTGAATATATGGTCCAACCTGTGTTGTTCTCTGATCCTAAATCTCGACGCTGAGCCTGCAAGTGTTTGTATTAGGATTGTGTTTGTCAGCTCAATCCATGCTAGACTAGTCATATCCATAAACAGAAAGAATCTTCTGCAAAAATCATATGTTGCAACTTAAATCTTTCTGTTTTGAAATCTTTCGATACTTTCTTTTTTACATTATATGTTGGTATGCCTCGGTATAAGATTTTGATGGTATGATAACATTGGATAAAAATATCACAGTTTTACTGTTTTGTGGTATTGTGATTATTGCTTTAAAATAAGTTCTTTTTCTCCATTGAACATATTATATTTTAGTTTAAGAATATTTTGGCTTTTCTTATTTTAAACATGCCAGGATAAACAATTTAAATAAATCACTGACTCTCTTCATTAGTTTCAAAAACATGGATATATTTATTTTCTTTGTATGTAAAGTAAAGCCACTGCACTTTTCAGGTCTATAGCATGCTTGTATGTTGGCATAGATATATACATTAGATGTCGCCTACCCTGTTGTTGTCTATTGGAAGGAATGCATCAATAGAGCCGCCATTTTGAAACAGGGTAGCACTCCTTTGAAATGAATGCGGGACCAAGTTACAGTGGAGGACTGTGACCATTCAAAGCCAGAGATATCCATGTACACATATATCTATGATCGGGAGTTTTCCTGGATGTTAGTATGCAATTTTTTTTTCCAATTACGAAAATTATAATTTTACATCACTTTTCTACATTGATGGATCAGTGATCGCACTGGCATTCCTGACAAAAAGCTTGTGTTTGTGTGTACAGAAATGTACTATCCACCCTCCCTGTTAAATTTGATCTAATTCGTGCCCAGAAACACACCTCCTCCACTGCTTTCACTTCTCATACTGACGGGGGGAGCGGTTCGTTTGTAAATGAATCTCCGTTATGAATGACTCGTTCACTAGCCTACAATAATACAAGTTTCTGACACCTCAGCATCTCGTTATCATATTTCTCTTGCATTGTTTGCTGATTTTATTCAACAAAACTAGCATAAGTAGAGTGTTTAGTGCGAGTTGCAGCTACTTTGCCTTATGGTGAATGCAATAAGTGACTATATTATCATCAATAACGTTACCTGTTTAGCGCAAAAGTTCAGAACATACAAAAACGTAAAAAACTTAATCTTACCTATGAAATGTTCCGCCTTTGTGCTTTGTTTTCTTTGTTTGCTCGTTACTACACCCGTAGACAACGCTAAAGTCACGCATCTTCACGTAAAAACACTGTCTTGACTAGTGCGGTTGAATCACATTTGTCCTGAGAGCACTGTACCAATGTGGCGGCGCTATTGACGCATGCTCAGGGTCCCAATGCGATATCTAGTGTATATATCCATGGTATGTTGGTGTATAAGTGACTTGTTTTTCAAACAATTTCTGAATCGTGGACTGACCGGAAGCTTTTGATTTAGAGGTTTTATTGCTGTAGACTAAAAATCAACAGACACATAGGAACGGTATAAGAAACCAGTTATTGTTTCCATTTTTTCGATTACTGTCGATCATGGGATTTTGTTATTTTGTTGACAGATGTTTGGAGAACAGGATAAATATGTAATGGTATCGATGTAGCTGTTTTGTTCTGAGCGTGTGGGGTCCCAGGTTCATAACTGCTCTAATAACAAGGTTTGTTTTAATGAACCAAGCTAAATTGCACCTGTACGTGAGTGGATTTAAATTAGGGCATGCAAATGAACACAATAAACACAAAAGTGTAGCTGCAAGCTGTTTCATAAAGTGACCTCCTAAAAATATAATGTAAATGCTGCTAGCATAGATGGGTGAAAGATAGACAGACGGACAGACAGACCGACCGACCGACCGATCGATCGATTGATCGCTCAATTGTTAAATAGACAGACAGACAGACAGACCGTTTGATCGATCAATTGTTAAATAGACAGACACACAGACAGACAGACAGACAGACAGACAGACAGACAGACAGACAGACAGACAAAAAGATAGGATGGATGGATGGATGGATGGATGGATGGATGGATGGATGGATGGATGGATGGATGGATGGATGGATGGATGGATGGATGGATGGATGGATGGATGGAATAAAAATTGTTGTAAAAATGTTGCCTTTTATTAACCACACAAAGTATTATATTAGAAGAAATTTTTTATTCTTCTGATAGCTTCAGCTACAGATTATACTAGATTTTGTTTTTATACAATGCATGTAAACTACCTGATGTCAAAATGACATCTAATTGACATCTAAAATTTAAAATCTGTAAACTGATTTGCATTTTTGACATGTTCAATGTCATTTTGACATTAAGATGTCCACTGCGTAGACAGTAGATGGATTGATTTTGTAATGCAATGACTACATGTTCAGGGCTTCCCTAACATGATGATAATAATAATAATAATTGTGGAACCAACATCACAACTTGCTATACACTTTTTTATACACATATACACATATTTAACAACACACTTTACATACCAATTTGCACAAAACAGCTGCACATACAATGTTGTATATAGTAATGTACATACACCTGTCAATTTGGATATTTCCTTTAACTACTATTTTTTTAAATATATTTATTATCTGTTTTTTGTCCTGTCTCTGCAATGCTGTTGCACTGTAGAAGCTCACAACATATGACAACATACCTGGCAATAAAGCTCATTCTAATTCTGATTCTGTAAAATAAATTAAACTATTGTTAAAATTAAATTATGTTTAGTTTGTTGCATATAGTTAACTATTGTGATGTATATGTGTTGTGGGTAAATGGTGTTTCAATCCGGCTACCACCACAAGAATATTTTAAATCTATGGGAAGCCCTGATGTTTGCAACAAAAACAAGTCGATCATTATTTTATTTATTTATTTTTTTTGTCCGTCTAGTAAAGGATGAACAAAATGTCTGAAAAAGGACTATCTCAAATAATGCCATGATATTGACAGATGATATTTAAATTTTGTCTGCACATGTCCAATTATATGTGAAATATTCCTAGAAGCAATGCCAGTGCATACATAGCTTTACATTTGTGTGTGTGCGCATATGTGTGTGTGTGTTGACAGCACTGCTCCTCAGCAGCTTGAATTTACCTTGTTAATTCGATGTCATTTGTATATTCTCTCCCA